TTGTTGTTTTTTTTTTTTTTTTGGTCTCTGTTCTTAGAAATAGTAATTGGGTAAAAATGTAAGTGAGCAGGTGCCAGGCGGCCGGCGGCCAGGGTCAGGGTGAGTTTCTCCATGCTGAGTGTGATTCTGAACACTCGTTAAGTGGAGACCGGCCCGTGCCAAGCAGCTCGAGGGCCATCCCTGTCACCTTGTGTGAACCGCCTCTCCATTCCAGAGGGAGACGCCGGGAGCGGCCGGAGGCAGCGCGGGGCCCGTGGCGCCTCCTGCTCTGCCCGGTCACGCTGTGACCTGGGCGTAGTTGTCACCCGCGTGTGCGAACACTGATCCCTGGACGGGCAGCCTGAGACTTCCTCAGCTTGAAATGAAACCCCTTGGAGGGTGAAATAATTCCTGCTCCTCACAGGCCATGCGGCTGCCAAATCATTCTTCTCTTTTTAAATTGATTATCCCCCAAATATCGGTTGAGGTCAGATGAGTCTGCCTGATAAGATAGAAGAATCTGGAAGATAAGCCGCAGAGATGGTCTGTCCGTGAATGAATAGATTTAGATTCATGAAGGCGAATTCAGGGTTTTTGGTTTTATGTTGTTTTTTTTTTCTAAGTGTTTACTGAGCAAGAGGCTTTTAAGTAGTTTGGTTAAGATTTAAAGACGGTGCTTCTCGAAGTGCGGTCTACGTTCGTGTCTCCCGAGCTGTCCTCGAAAGCAGATTCGCGGGCCTGTCTCAGAGCCGCAGGGGCAGGATAGTGGGCCGGGTGGAGCGGAGGAATCTGCACAGTTAGGTGGCTCTGCAGGTGCTTCTGATGCCACCAGAGTTTGCCGCCGCCCCAGCAGTGGACGCGCTGCCGGCGCAGGCCTGTCTCCTCGCAGACCCTGGCACGGAGCGCTGCGGGCCCGGCTGGGCCTCTGTTTGATCGGGGGGCCCTGCAGGCGTGGGCCCCTGAATTCACAGCACAACCAAGTTTTCCCTCGGCACTGTCCGCGTTCCCAAATGCAGTAGGCTGGTCAGTCACATGCATGGCACATGCCCCCTGCCCACTCTTCGCCACAGAGGGGCGAGGAGTGTGCTAGGAAGTAAGTTAATCACTCGGAGAGGGGACCGGATGCCTCGTTCGGAGGTCGCGTGTGGGAGTGAATTCCTCCTCTCCAGGGCCTTCCACGGGGTGCTGCTGGGGCGAGAACGGGGTGTTCAGAGCTCGTGTGTGACATCTAAGGGGCGTATGTTCTCGCACGCGTAAGTCAGTGTGGGAGGTTTGATTCCCCGGGGTGGGGTTTGGTCAGAGCCACGGCCCGGATCCCGGTCTGGGACGTTCCAGGGGGAAGGGTCTCGCGAGCAGCGGAATGTAAACTCCACTCTCAGCCCAGCTCAGCTTCGAGTGACTGGCTTTCTCCTTCCAAACTGTTTTTCTCAACCAGGGCTTTAGAGCAGGTGAACATATGACTCAGGACTCAAGGGAAGACTTAATGATAAATCACTTGCTCTTTTCTCTGTGCAATACCCCCCGTTATTCTGAAGTTATTTTGGAACCACCCACTATTTTGAGCAAGCCATACAGTGTGGGCATCCCACAACTCCGGTGCTGGTTTTGGCCATCAAATGGTTAGAGAAATGTCCACTTCTACGTGGCGTGTGTCACTGAGCAGTCCACGTGACTGCCGACGTGTCAACAGAATGACTGGTAGTAGTAATTCTGCTTCCCAACAAGCCCCTTCGATGAAAAGATCTCAGCGTTAACTACCAATCCAGATATATTTAGGGTAGATGTCAAGTGTGCGCAGAGGTCATGGCAAGGCAAAGGTAAAGAGACGACGTTCTCACGATAGATCACTCAACAGTGTCTGTTGAGTGCCTGCTCCGCGTCAGGCACTGATCTGGGCACCGGGGATCCCATCAGGGAATAAAGCAGCAAAAATACTTTATAAATAAAGCAGCAAAAGCCCTTCGGAGCTTCCCATTCTGGAGGAGGAAGACAGACGATTAATTAAAAAGGTTAAGAATGGTAGAAGTCGAAAAATGTTAGAGGGGAGAAAAGTCGAGCAGGCTTAGGGATGGGGGGATGAGCTGCAGTTTTAAATAAGCTGGCCTGGGAGGGCTCGTGACGAGGGTGGCATGAAAGCAGAGACTTGGAAGAGGGCGGAGAACAGC